CCCCAAAACCCCAAAACCCCAAAACCCCAAAACCCCTCTCTAAATCCCCCAAATTGCCAAACTTTCTGTTATAAATTAAATAATTATTTAACAAATATAACAACTCCTTAACAAATGGCAGAATACCACATCTCCCCTAACGGGTTGCACTTAAACGAAGATACTTCTCAGTTGTACTTCACTACACCTAGGTAAGCTAGCCCCTTCAGGTATTATAAGGAACAGAATTTGGCCGATGGGTTACGGTCTGAAGGATTTATGAATAGAAGTTAAATATGTTGTTAATAGGATGCCCAAAAGTCGGAAAAATGTGAATAGAATGAGGCTGAATGAAATATTTATGAATAGTAGTGGGTTCAAGGGCAGGGAAGAGTCTATACAACGAAGAGAGCCAGTTTTTAAATAAAATTAAAAGAGGTTCAAGCAAGTTCAGACCAAGTTGTAAGTATTGATCCAGCTTCAAATTTACTGTTTGATGCTAATAAATTCATTGTAATCCAAAATAGCTAGAATCAGCAAGAAGAGAAGCCCTCATAAATATGATAACATGGGATATAACTCCCTTCTATTCAACGAGCAGCTCAGTTCTATTGAGAGAGACTTAGAAGCTGAGCGTAAAACTATTGAGAAAAGGGAGGAAGTGCTGAGCACATTAGAACTTCAGTTAACTTCTAAAAACAATGAAGATGAAAATTACATGTTAGAAGAGATGACTCCCAAAGTTCCCAAAAGAAGGTAAATTCCTTATTCTAATTACCTAGAGGCAGAGAAGAGTCGCCTAAGGTTGATTTTGACATTCCTATGAAGAAAAAACGACCTATCTCCAGAAAGCTGTTTAATTATAACTCGAGAGATAGAATTAACAAGAATAGAGGAATTGAGAATATAGAGTAAGTGTTTAGACCAATTAGTTTTAGAAATTCTAAGTTGAGGAAAAACAAAATAAAGAGAAAGCATCAAAAGAATTGACAAGTAAGCATTCTGGTTGAGTACATAGCTAGTCAGGGTAACCACTAAGGGCAATAAAACTAAAATTGAAGGGAAAGATAGTGTCTTTTTCTCAATAAATAAAGGTAATTTGACTAAATAACAATGCGCATAGTCCAAATTGGCAGGAACAAATGGAAATAAATGTAAGATATTAGAGATAGATGGGATCTCAGAAGACTGGACTGGTAAATTTGATGTGTATTATATTTTTAGAAGAGCAATATGAGTCTGTTATTGTTGAGGAATCAGATCCTAACTGAAACACAAGCAGTTCACTTGAAATTAAACCGATCAGAGAGTCAAAGTATCAAGCAAATCCTGAAATAGCTTCTCCAATGTCTCCTCCTGAAAGTCCTTATAATGAGCCAAAGGAAGAATCAAAGGAAGAATTTAGGTTGGCTGAAACTTTACCAAGGAAAAGCCATTCTTCTCGGGAAGCTGAAGGCTACACCGACTCTTTAAAGCAAGGTAAATAATTTTATATTTTATCCTTATAGAGCTCGAGCCTGTAGAAGACTATATTGCTAATACCAGAGATAAATCTAAGATCCTTGAAAGACGCAGAAGATTTGAGCAGAAAATGATCGAAACAAAGTCAATTTCTGAAACACTCAGCTATAACTCTAACTTGGTAATTATTAATTTCCTACCTTTACAACTTTTTACTCATTATAAAACATAACATTACCATTTAATTTAGGGAGGAAGGGCACACCTATACTGATGAAACGGAGCCCAAAGCAATGGAATGGGCAATTGTACTATATTTTAGACGTTACAAAGCATGGAATAACAATTTTACTATCTATTTTCAAAGGTGTCTGATTTCAATTTTCAAAAAGTTCAAAGGGGTTTTGGGGTTTTGGGGTTTTGGGGTTTTGGGG